AAACCAGCGTGGCTCAGTGGATGGAGCGTCGGCCTGTGGACTGAGAGGTCCCGGGTTCGATTCCGGTCAAGAGCATGCACCTTGGTTGTGGGCACATCCCCGGGGAGGGGAGGGGTGTGCAGGAGGCAGCTGATGGATGATTCTCTCTCATCGATGTTTCTAACTCTCTATCCCTCTCCTTTCCTCTTTGTAAAAATCAATAAAATATATTTTTTTAAAAAGCCGAAACCTGTGTGGCTCAGTGGATAGAGCGCCGGCCTGCAGACTGAAAGGTCCCAGGTTCAATTCCAGTCAAGGGCATGTACATTGGTTGCGGGCACATACCCAGTAGGGGGTGTGCAAGAGGCAGCTGATGGATGATTCTCTCTCATCGACATTTCTAACTATCCCTCTCCTTTCTTCTCTGTAAAAAATCAATAAAATATATTTAAAAAAAGAAAGAGAGAGAGAGAGGGAGAGAATCATGGATATTGATCCCCTAATGGGGATGGAGCCCCACACCCAGCACATGTCCTTGACCGGGAATCGAACCAGGACCTCCTGGTTCCCAGGTGGATGCTCACCCAGCCTCAGTGAAGGATCATATCTCATTGTTTGAAAGCACAACTGGCGTGCCCCGCCCCCCCCCCCTGGGAAATCTTCCCAGGTCCCGCCCCTCCGGGCACGGGTCCGGCTGTGCCACGGGGCGGGGCCATGTTCCTTCCTGCACCGTAAGCCCTGCGATGTCAGAGCCGCTGACCGAACGTGGGCAGGCGTTTTTTTCACGAGCATGTGTGCCTTTTCCCAGCTCCTGAGTCAGCAACCCTGAGCCGCTGTGTGCACACAGAGCTGGAGGCCCCTGGAGGCTAGTGCAAGGGGGTCTCGCTAAGAGTGGTTGGTATTGTTTTTTTGTAAATATATTTTTCATTGATTTTTTTACAGAGAGGAAGAGAGAGGGACAGAGAGCCAGAAACATCGATGAGAGAGAAACATCCATCAGCTGCCTCCTGCACACACACACACCCCCCCCCACCGGGGATGTGCCCGCAACCAATGTACATGCCCTTGACTGGAATAGAACCCGGGACCTTTCAGTCCGCAGGCCGACGCTCTATCCACTGAGCCAAACCGGTTTCAGTTTAAATATATATATATATAATATATATTTTATTGATTTTACACAGAGAGGAATTGAGAGGGATAGAGAGAAACATCGATGAGAGAGAAACATTGATTAGCTGCCTCCTGCATGCCCCCCACCGGGGATGTGCCCGCAACCAAGGCATATGCCCTTGACCGGAATAGAACCTGGGACCTTTCAGTCCGCAGGCCGACGCTCTATCCACTGAGCCACACCGGTTTTGGCCATTTTTTTTTTTTTAAGTCTATTACTAACGGCTAGGTGCATGAATTCGTGCACAGCTGGGGTCTGGCTGGCCCGCCCTGATGGGGGACAATTGAGCCAGGCTTTCCAGGAAGGAAGAGGTTGTGGGCTTTTGGGGAGCTGGCCCCGCCCCCTCGTCGAACCCCTGGTTGACCTCCCAGTCCAACTCCTGGTCCAGGGGACAATTTGCATATTAGCCTTTTGTTATATAGGATTATTGTTTTCAGAGAGGAAGGGAGAGGGAAAGAGAGACACATCCATGAGGAGAGAGAATCATGGACCGGCTGCCTCCTGCACGCCCCCCACTGAGGATGGAGCCCGCCACCCGGGCCTGTGCCCTGACCGGGAATCGAACCCTGACCTCCTGGTTCCTAGGTGGATGCTCAACCCCTGAGCCACGCCAGGCGGGCTTTGCCTTTTCCCACTTTATGATAACTGAAGTTCTCAATGACCAGATTACACTCCGTAAGCTTCTCTCGTGTTAATAATAAAAAACAGCCGAGACCGGTTTGGCTCCGTGGAAAGGTCCCAGGTTCGATTCCGGTCAAGGGCATGTACTTTGGTTGCGGGCACATCCCCCGGTAGGGGGTGTGCAAGAGGCAGCTGGTCGATGCTTCTCTCTCATCGACGTTTCTAGCTCTCTCGCTCCCTTCCTTTATGTGAAAAATCAATAAAATAAAAAAATAATAAAAAACAATAATAACACGGCCATATCGGGGGCGTCCTTTGGGAATGGGTCCTGTGTCAGGAAAAGCGGTTAAACTCTGGGGTCTTTAAGGAGCCTGGGAAAGCCTCACCAGAACCTCTGGGGTTGGGACTATTATCTGTTTAAAAAAAAAAAAACAGCACTGGGCCCTGGCTGGTGTGGCTCAGTGGATAGAGTGTCAGCCTGCGGACTGGAAGGTACCCGGGTTCCATTCCGGTCAAGGGCACAGGCCAGGGTTTGGGGCTCCATCCCCAGTGTGGGGCTTGCAGGAGGCAGCTGATCCGGGATTCTCTCTCATCATGGATGCTTCTATCTCTCCCTTCCTCTCTGAAACAATAAAATAAAATAAAAATTTTTTTTAAATACTAAAATTTCGCCGAAACCGGTGTGGCTCCGTGGATAGAGCGTCGGCCCGCGGACTGAAGGGTCCCGGGTTCGATTCCGGTCAAGGGCATGTGCCTTGGTTGCGGGCAAATCCCCAGTGGGAGTGTGCAGGAGGCAGCGGATGGATGTTTCTAACTCTCTATCCCTCTCTCTTCCTCTCTGTAAAAAAAAAAAAAAAAATCAATAAAATATATATTTTTAAAAAACACTAAAATCTGGAGATCTGGGTGGTGGCTCCCCAGGAGGACTGGCCCCCCTTCCCACCCCACATCCCCCACCCCACATCAAACATCCCTTCTGAAGACAATGCTAATTAAAAAAACCTCTCTCTCTCTCTCTCTCTCTCTATATATATATATATATATATATATATATATATATATATATATATCCATCCATCCATCCATCCACTCACCCACCCACCCACCCACATGGGGAGGAGAGAAGGTGACACCTCTATCTATCTCTATCTTTCTATCTATCTATCTATCTATCTATCTATCTATCTATCTATCTATCTATCTATCTATCTATCTATCTATCTATCTATCTATCATCTCTGTAAGGGCCACATGGGGCGGAGAGAAGGCGACACCAGCCTCCCCAGGAGCCCGCGCTCAGTGGCTGGGCGCCGCGCCCGGGCTCGTCAGCACCTCTCCCCGGAGACAGCGCCAGGTGAGGGCGGGGCGGCGCCGCCTTTGTCTCCGGCGGAGGAGAGGCGGCGGCCGGGCCGTCCACGCAGGACGCAGCGCGCGTGTCACCTGCCGCCACGCGCCCTTCCCAGCCGGCCGGGCCCCCCCTCCCCGGGGGCGCGCGATCCCGGGCCCCGGGGCGCACGGGGGTGCGGGGCGCACCGGGGGGAACCGCCTGCCTTCGAGCCCGGTGGCCGCCCCCCGGCCCCCCCGTGACGGCCACATGGCCTCCCGGTCCGCGGGCGGCGCCGGGCACACCGGGCACAGGGGCCCCGCAGAACAAAGGAGCGGGGCGCGCGCGCGCGGGCCGGCGCGGATGGAGACGCAGCGGAGCGGCGACCCGGGGCCCAGCGCCTCCTTTCTCCCCGCGGCCTCCGGGGGCGGCCCCCGCGGCCTCCGGGAGGGGGCGCAGCTAGCGGTCCCGCCCGCGCGCCCCGCCGCCGCCCCCACCCGGGAGGCGCCCCGCGCGCCGCCCCGGGGGCGTGGCCGGGCGGGCCGGGGGCGGGGCCGCGCGCGCCTCCGCGCCCGCCTTAAAGGGGCCGCGGCCCCGCGTGACCACTGCGCAGGCCCGACCGCCCCCCCCTCCCCACCTCCCCATTCCCGCGAGGACAGCTCCCCTGCGGGGCGCGCGGGACCCGAGCACAGGGGTCCCGGAGGTGCAGCCCGATCCCGCCTCTCGGATCCACAGTTTCGGGACGATTTGGGGGACGGGTGCCCCGGGGGGGGGGGGGTCGGGCAAGCGCCGGCCGAGGGGACCGAACCGCGGGCGCGCGCGCGCCGGTGGTGCTGGCGATGCGGCCGGGCGGGCGCCTTTGTGTCGGGTGCGCCTTCGCGCAGGTGGACAGCGCCCCGGGACCTCGCGTCCTGCCCTTGCACGCGCCCCCAACCCCGGCTCGGACCCCCGATCTCACACCCCACAGGCCCCGCTGGCGCTGGCGCTGGCACCCCCGGCCCCGGGGCCGCGCAATTGCCGGGCGCTAACGGGACTCGGGAGGGACGCGCGCTCCCCGCCACAGGGCCGGTCCTCCGCGGAGGGGGCGCACGGCGTCTCCTCGCTCGGGCCAGAGTCGGGGGGCGGGGGGAACCCGGGGACCTGGGGACAGACTGGGCTGTCCCCGCGCTGGCAGGTCCCGGCGGCGGGCGCCCGGAGCCTGCGGGGTCCCGCGTTAGACAACAAAGAGAGGCGTTCGCGGCGGCGGCGGCGGCGGGGGCGGGGCGGCCGGGCCCGGGAGGAGGGAGGGAGGGAGGAGGGGGAGCAGGAGGCGGAGGGAGGCCGGGCTGCGGCGCGCTGGGGTTGGGGGCGCCCGCGGCTCCGCCCGCCGCCCGCCCCCCGCCCGGCGCGCGCGCCAATCGCCTCCCGCAGCGCCCGCGCCCGCGCCCGCGGGGACGCGCGCCGCCTCCCCGGTCCCCTCCGGAGCGCGTCTGGCTGCGGCGGCGGCTCCTCCGTGGAGAGGCGGGGAGCGGGGCCGGGAGAAGCGCCGGCTGAGGGCGGGCGGGCGGGCGGGAGCGAGTGGGGGAGCCCGGGAGGGGCCCCCCTTAAAGGCCGCCGCCTGCTCGCTCGCTCGCTCGCTCCTCTCTGGGCGCGCGCGGCCGCCGCTCGAGCTCCGGTTCCCCCGCCGCCGCCGCCGCCGCCGCCGCCCCGGGGTGGGGACCCGGGCGGGGGCCTCCCTCAGCCGCCGCCAACGGACGCGCCGCGCACGGAGCGCCCCGGTCCTTCCGGCGCGGAGCCCGCTGCAGCCGGCGCGGGGCGCGCCGCTCCCCGGCCTCCCCGGGGCCGCCTTTGTGGCCGCAGCAGCCGCCGCAGCAGCAGCTCCGGAGCCGCGGCCGGCGGGGGCGCGGCGCGCACGGCCCGGCCATGCCCAGCTCGCTGTTTGCAGACCTGGAGCGCCACGGCGGCGGCGGCGGGGGCGGCGGCGGCGGCGGCGGGGAGACCCTGGACGACCAGCGGGCCCTGCAGCTCGCGCTGGACCAGCTGTCCCTCCTGGGGCTGGACAGCGACGAGGGCGCCTCCCTGTACGACGGCGAGCCGCGCAGGAAGAGCGTGAACATGACCGAGTGCGTGCCGGTGCCCAGCTCGGAGCACGTCGCCGAGATCGTGGGCAGGCAAGGTGGGTCCGGCCGGGGATGGGGCGCCGGGGAGGGGGGTGCGGGTCTCCGGCCACCGCCCCGCGGGGAGGGGACCCGGGGCTCGCGGAGGAGCAGCCGGGGAGCCCCGGGGAGGAGCGAGGGGGAGAGGGAGGAGGGAGGGAGCCAGCGCCGCGCCAAGGGCCGGCGCCCCAGACAAAGAAAGTGCGGGCGGGCGGCCCCGCAGCCCCGCGCCGCGGCCACGGCGGGATGCCCGGCTCCCGCCGACGCCACCGCCTCCCCCCCGGGCGCCCCCCGCCCCGCCGGATCCCGGGAAACGCCATCTAAACCGGGGATGCTTGGAGAGGGGGGGGGAGGGGGCCTTTGCAAGTCCATCGGGAGGGAGGGAGGAGGGAGGGAGGAGGAGGAGGGAGAGCATGGGATGGAGGAGGATTCTGGATTTCTCTGCAGCGCGCATCATGGAGCCCAGATGGGGAACAATGGGTCCCGGGACTGGGGCGCCCCCCCCGCGCCCCCCGCTTTCGTAGCGGCTGTGGGGACACCCGGGCTCCGGCTGTCTCAACCCCCCTCCCCCCCTTACAAACCCCGGGTCTCCAGGGCGCACGGCGGCGGCGCGCCCCTGCGGGGTCCCCGGGCGGCGGCACCTCCCGGGCGGGCGGACTCCGCTGGGGATTGGGGCTCTGGCGTCGGGGAGGTCCCCGCTTCTCGCCTGGGGACTGGGAAGGGCTGAGCCTATTCCTGGAGCGCTTCGCCCGGGGTTCGAGGTTGGGGGGGCGGGGAGCTGGGGACCCGCTTCCCGGCGCGCGCGCGCGGGGTCCGGCCGGGAGCCGCCCCCCTTTGTACCGCCGCCGCCGCCGCTGGGGGGGTCCCGCCGCCGTCCCGCGTCCCCCTGGCTCACCCCCCGGGGGTAACGGGCTTGTCTGTCTGTCTGTCTCTCCCGTCCCCTTCCCCCTGGCACCCCGGATCCCCCTCCCCAAACCCTTCCCCGCCCCCCCACCCCCCGCCAGGCTGTAAAATCAAGGCGCTCCGGGCCAAGACCAACACGTACATCAAGACACCGGTGCGCGGGGAGGAGCCGGTGTTCGTGGTGACGGGGCGGAAGGAGGACGTGGCCATGGCGCGCCGGGAGATCATCTCGGCGGCCGAGCACTTCTCCCTCATCCGCGCCTCCAGGAACAAGAGCTCCGCGCTCAACGGAGGAGGAGGAGGGAGCGGTGGCGGCGGCGGGGGAGGCGGCGGCGGCGGCGGCGGAGGGGGCGCCGCGCCGGGGCCCCCCCACCTGCCCGGCCAGACCACCATCCAGGTGCGCGTGCCCTACCGCGTGGTGGGGCTGGTGGTGGGGCCCAAGGGCGCCACCATCAAGCGCATCCAGCAGCAGACGCACACCTACATCGTGACGCCGAGCCGCGACAAGGAGCCCGTGTTCGAGGTCACGGGGATGCCCGAGAACGTGGACCGCGCGCGCGAGGAGATCGAGGCTCACATCGCGCTGCGCACCGGCGGCGGCGGCGTCGGGGGCGGCGTCGGGGGCGGCGGCGTGGGCGGCCTCGTGGAGCTCCCGGACGACAACGACTTCCACGCCAACGGCACCGACGTGGGCTTCGATCTCGGGTCCGGCGGGGGGTCCGGGCCGGGCAGCCTGTGGAGCAAGCCCACGCCCACCCCGGGCCGCAAGCCCTTCGCCAGCTACCGCAACGACAGCTCCAGCTCATTGGGCAGCGCGTCCACGGACTCCTACTTCGGCGGGGGGACCACCCCGCGCCTGGCCGACTACAGCCCCCCGAGCCCCGCGCTCAGCTTCGCGCACAACGGCAACAACAACAACAACGGCAACGGGTACGCCTACGCCGGCCCCGGGGAGCCCCCCGCGCCCTCCCCCGACGGCGCGGAGCTCCCGCCGCCGCCGCCGCCCGCCTTCGACCCCGCGCCCGCGCCCCCGCCCGGGGCGCCCCTGCTCTGGGCGCAGTTCGATCGCTCGCCCGGTGGCGGGGGGCCCCCGACGGTCTCCTCCTGCGCCTCCTCCTCCTCCTCCGCGTCTTCCTCCGCCTCGTCTTCCTCCGTGGTGTTCCCCGGGGGCGCGCCCCCCGCCGGCGCCGGCAACCTGGGGCTGTTGGTGCAGCAGCGCCGGCTGCCCCCGGGCGCAGGCTGCCCGCGCCTGTCGCCGCCCCTGCACGCGGCGGCGGCGCCCCCCACGGGGCCCGGGGAGCACCCCCTGGCGCGCCGGGTGCGCAGCGACCCGGGCGGAGGGGGCCTGGCCTACGCGGCCTTCGCCAACGGGCTCGGGGCGCCGCCGCCGCCGCCGCCGCCGCCGCTGCCCCCCGACACGTCGGGCTCCTCGTCGTCCTCCAGCTCCTCCTCCAGCTCCTCGTCGTCCTCCTCCTCCTCCTCGGTGTCCTCGTCCACGACGGGGCTGCGGCGCAAGGGCAGCCGCGACTGCTCCGTGTGCTTCGAGAGCGAGGTGATCGCGGCGCTGGTGCCCTGCGGCCACAACCTCTTCTGCATGGAGTGCGCCAACCGCATCTGCGAGAAGAGCCAGCCCGAGTGCCCCGTGTGCCACGCCGCGGTCACCCAGGCCATCCGCATCTTCTCCTGAGCGCAGCGCGCCCCGGGGAGGGGGACCCAGGTCTCCAAACTCATCCCCAGCGTGCGCGCACCTTGTGCGCCCCCGACAGGTGGGGAGGCGGGGGACCCAGGTCTCCAAACTCATCCCCAGCGTGCGCGCACAAGGTGCGCCCCGGAGAGGTGTGTGTGGGGGACACCCAGGTCTCCATCCTCATCCCCAGCACACGGCAAACTCAGTGCGCCCTGGGGAGGGGGGTGCCCAAGACTCCAAACTCGTCCCCAGCACTCGCGCAGCTGGTGCGCCCTGGGGAGGGGGGATCCAGGTCTCCAAACTCATCAGCGCGCGAGCGCGCCCCCTCCGGACCCTCACCCTCCTGGTGCCCACCCCTGGGGAGACCAGTGGAGGAGCCTGGGAAGCGGAATGATCCGCGCAGTTTTCCATTTTTCCATTTATTTTTTTCTCTCCCTCCCCCAACAACAAAGGAACTTGCTAAGGATTTCTGTCCGCAAGAATCCTCCGGGAGGGTGGCCCCCCCCCCCCCCCGACACCTCCGAAACCCCTCCCGAAATGCATGCTCTATACATATAGGATCGGCGACCTAGGGATAGTTTTGACACTGTACTTAATAGCAAGCTTCCAGAAGGAAATAACTCCCCCAAACCCTGACCCCCCTTCCCACGAGTTTCCCCATGCTCTTCATGTAGGAAAACCATGGACCGTGATTTAGGGTGAAGATGCTGATGATGATAATAATAGTGTTATGTATGGGGTATGTGGCCTGTCTTTTCGTGAATCCTTCCTTTTCCCTCCCCCCCCCCCACCCCTCTGTGGCTGGGTTCCTATTGATGCTTGTTCTAGAACAACATGTGGGGGGGCGAGTCTCTTCCCCAGAATGTTCTAGCACACCCTGGATCTTTCCAGAATGTTCTAGAACAGCCGTGGGTCCTTCTGGAATGTTCTAGAAGCGCCAGGCATTCCGGAGACACCCCCGGGGGATACTGCAGCTTTATGAAAAGTGAAGAGAAACTGTAACATATCTCTTACCTATTAAGAAGAAGAAAAAAAAAAAAAGGAAGAAAAAAAAAAACGTTTAAAAGTTTTAAAAGAGAAATCTCGCATTCCTACAGATCGAAGTATTTTATTCTTTTTTGACTTGAAGAATTATATTTCATATTGCAAAGATGTTTACAAGTATTTTAATTTAAGTTCAGTGAACTTTTTTGTAGCTGGGTTTAAAAGAGAAAAAATCTTTTTTATTTTTTCGTACGGGCCTCATCGGCGAAGAACAAACACTGTATACTTTTAAATAATCCACTCCGTTGTGACGGGATTATAAAACCGTAAAAAAAAAAAAAAACCACGCACACACCACACACAACGTGTAATGTTTTCGAACAGTATTCTGTTGGGATGAAGGATTTTTTTTATAGGTTTCTGAAAAGTCTTGAAGCTCCGCTTCACCCAGCGTTTTTTCCTATTCCGTGATAGAAAACATATTTTATTCTATATTATTACACACAAAAACACAAAACAAGACGCAGGAACGTATCCACACATCAAAAGGGACTGTTGAACCTTTCTAATCGCGTTTGTAATAAGTAGAATGCAGTGCCAGTTCTGGACATTCTCTGTTATACACCACTATAATTTTTAGTATTTCTATTTTTTAATACATTTGTTTACCACTCGTTTATGTATGTGTAGGTGACGTTACTTGAGCTTAAATGTACTTTACCGAGCAAAGTTTAAAAAAAAAAAAGTATATTTTATTTTATGATAAAGGGCCTTGAACCACATGGTCAAAAATACTAATATTATATTTGCTGAGACAAGATTTGAAATTGTATCTCAAGAGTTTTATTTTTCTGACATTTTAAAGTTCTACATAAATAAAGGTAAAACGTAAGTCATGGTGCTACTTCGTTTTTTAAGTATTTCTATATGAATAAAAGATGGACGAAAACAGATGGTGTGGTGACTTTTGATTTTTTTTTTTTAAATAAAAAAAGGCCAGAGTTGCATTTGGTTGGGTGTTTAGGCCATGGTAGCAGTATTTAAAAAAAATAAAAAAATTAAAAAATATATATATATATATTTTATTTATTCTTTACAGAGAGGAAGGGAGCGAGATAGAGAGCTGGAAACGTCAGCCAAGCTGCCTCTTGCACACCCCCCACCGGGGATGTGCCCGCAACCAAGGTCCATGCCCCTGACCGGAATCGAACCCGGGACCTTTCAGTCCGCAGGCCGACGCTCTACCACTGAGCCACACCGGTTTCGGCGGTAGCAGTATTTTTATTTATTTATTTTTAATATACTTTATTGATTTTTTTATGGAGAAGAAGGGAAAGGCATAGAGAGCTAGAATAAACATTGATCAGCTGCCTCCTGCACGCTCCCCACACTGGGGATCCAGCCCACAACCCGGGCCTGTGTCCTGACCGGGAATCGAACCCGGGACCTTTCAGTCCCTAGGCCAATGCTCTACCCACTTGGGTCACACCGGCCAGGGCTACATTTTAATGTTGTTATGGGCTGGCCGGCGTGGCTCTGTGTCTGTGTGGCGACCTCCAGAACCAGGAGGTCAGGGTTCGATTCCCGGTCAAGGGCACAGGCCCGGGTTGCGGGCTCCGTCCCCAGTGAGGGGCGTGCAGGAGGCGGCTGATCCATGATTCTCCTCAGGGATATTTCTCTCTTCCTCTCCCTTCCTCTCTCAAATAAACAAAAACATGTTTTTTAAAAAAAAGTGATGATAGCCGAAACCGGTGTGGCTCAGTGGATGGAGCGTCGGCCTGTGGACTGAAAGGTCCCAGGTTCGATTCCCGTCAAGGGCATGGACCTTGGTTGCGGGCACATCCCCGGTAGGGGGTGTGCAAGAGGCAGCTGGTCGATGTTTCTCTGTCATCGACGTTCCTAGCTCTCTATCCCTCTCCCTTCCTCTCGGTAAAAAATCAATAAAAAATATTTTTTTTAAAAAAAGTGATTAAGAAGGAAAGGAGCCAGGAAAGCAGAAAGGGCTTGGGCCCCGGGAACCTCAGAGTCCTGCCCAGCCTGCCTGGGCCCCTCAGGGCGAAGGGGCGCCCGTCCATCCGTCCGTCCTTTGGGGCTGTTAGCTGGTCCTTGGGGGAGGGGTCCCCTCCCCGGGGAAGGGCTGGGGGCTGAGGGTTCGAGGCTCTCACAGGGGCTCCGGCTGATGGTGTTGACAGGGGCTGGTGTTCACTGTTGGTTGTTGCTGGGGAGGAGGCTGTGTTTGCCTTTGCCAGTCTCACCTGCCCCCAGGCCTGGGGGGTGAGGGGCAGGGGAGGAGGGGGCGGGGCGGGGCCAGCCTCTGTGTCTGGGCCGGCTTAGGAATGACCAGACCAAGAAGTGGCCAGTGAGCTGCCCAGCCCAGCTGCCCCTGCACGGCCGTAGCTGCCCACAATGGGGCAGGATTTTATTCCCGTTTATTTTTTTATTTTTTAATATATTTTATTGATTTTGTACAGAGAGGAAAGGAGAGGGATAGTCAGAAACAGCGATGAGAGAGAGTCATCGATCAGCTGCCTCTTGCACCCCCCCCCCCCCACTGGGGATGTGCCTGCAACCAAGGTCCATGCCCTTGACCGGAATCGAACCCGGGACCTTTCAGTCCGCAGGCCGACGCTCTATCCACCGAGCCAAACCAGTTTCAGCTTCTATTGGTTTTTAAAAATATAGACACACGGAGCGGCCAGATGATGAGGGTCTCTGGACGCATAATAACCCGGCCACTCCGTGTCTGTCCTATAGAATAAAAGGCTCATAGGCACATGGTCCCCTCGACCAGGAGTCCGACCAGCAGGCAGGCCGGCCAACCACCCACGTCCCCTCCCCCTGGCCAGGCTGGCCGGACCCCACCCGTGCACGGATTCATGCACCAGGCCTCTGACACACACACACACACACACACACACACACCCTCATTGGCCAGATTATTGTGTGTTCAGAGATTATCATCATCTGGCCACTCCGTGTGTATGCTCTTCCCCAGAATTGAACCCAGGAGGTCACAGGTTCGATTCCCGGTCAGGGCACATTCCCAGGTGGTGGGCTCCATCCCTAGTGCGGGGTGAGCAGGAGGCAACCCCCGTCTGTCCCCCCGTCTGTCCCCCCGTCTGTCCCCCCGTCTGTCCCCCGTCTGTCCCCCCGTTTGTCCCCGTCCGTCCCCCGTCTGTCCCCCGTCTGTCCCTGTCTGTCCCCCGGAGCCCCGTCTGTCCCCTGTCTGTCCCCCCGTCTGTCCCCCCATCTGTCCCCCGTCTGTCCCCCGTCTGTCCCCCCGTCTGTCCCCCGTCTGTCCCCCGTCTGTCCCCCGGCCTCATTTGCCCCCGGAGCCTCGTCTGTCCCCCGTCTGTCCCCTGTCTGTCCCCCGTCTGTCCCCTGGAGTCCCGTATGTCCCCTGTCTGTCCCCCGGAGCCCTGTCTGCCCCCGTCTGCCCCCGTCTGTCCCCCGTCTGTCCCCCAGAACCCCGTCTGCCCCCTGGCCTCATTTGCCCCCGGAGCCCAGAGATGAGACAGGATCCGACCCAGCTGTGCTCAGCCGGAGGCAGAAGGAGAAGCCTGGCTGTGACCCTGGTTCCGGAGCCAGAACCCCCGGGGGCCCCTGGAGGGGGGTCAGGAGGAGGGGGGCCTGGCCAGGCCTGCAGCTCTGCCCCCCAGGCCTGCAGTTCTGTCCCCCAGGCCTGCAGCTCTGTCGCCCCCCCCCAGGCCTGCAGCTCTGCCCCCCCCAGACCTGCAGCTCTGTCCCCCCCCCAGGCCTGCAGCTCTGTCCCCCCCAGGCCTGCAGCTCTGCCCCCCCAGGCCTGCAGCTCTGCCCCCCCAGGCCTGCAGCTCTGTCCCCCCCAGGCCTGCAGCTCTGTCCCCCCCCAGGCCTGCAGCTCTGCCCCCCCCAGGCCTGCAGCTCTGCCCCCCCAGGCCTGCAGCTCTGTCCCCCCCAGGCCTGCAGCTCTGCCCCCCCCACTGGGGGGGGGACACCGGCTGGAGCAGGTGCCCGGGGAGGGGGCAATGGAGGGACGG